CACACGGGCGCCGGTGAAACCAACCAGAGGGGTTTGGAGAGGAGACAAGCTTTCTTCCCCAATCTTGAGCTGGCGGAAGCAATTGAGGAAGATGATGTCTGAAGAGCTGCCGTTGTCTATGAGGACTCGTCTGACCTTGTAGTTGGAGAGGATGACGGAAATGACAAGGGGGTCATCATGTGGGTAACGGACTCCTGTACAGTCGGTGTCTGTGAAGGTGATGGGTTCGATCCATTGTTTTGACTGTTTGGGAGGTCGGTCCACCGTCGCCACTGCTTTGTCTGAGCCCTGCCTGATTTTTCTGAGCTCTGCCTTCTGAGCCGAGCGGGATGGTCCCTCCGGAAGTGAGGCCGCCTGAAATGACTCTGATTTCTCCGACTGGTGAAGGAGGATTGCCTGGAGGCCGAGGCTGTGGTGGTGGGCGATTGTGGCCTTGGTTAGGTGGGGCTTGATTGCGGGGTGGTGTATGTCGGCGATTGTTTCTGGGAAGGTCGGTTCTTTGCCTCTGTTGAGAGCGGGTGTCTGTGAATCGGCTGAGGCGGCCCTGACGTATGAAGGTCTCAATTTGATCTTTGAGGTTGATACACTCATCGGTGGTATAGCCATGGTCCTGGTGGAAACGGTAGTACTTGGACTGATCTTTGCGATTGGAAGAGTTTCGTGAAGGTAGGGGCCACTTGAGGTAGTCCCGCTGGATCTGATTGGGGACGTGCTCTATGGGGGAGTTGAGTGGTGTGTACCGCTCGAACCGACCAGGCGGTCGGGTCGGAGCCGACCGGTCGGCTCGGTGGGGTCGGTCATTATATTGGGGTGTTTGGCCATTATACTGGGCGGTCCTAGGTTCTGAGTCTTTCCTCTTGTCTCTGGGGGTCGGATTTTTAGTGATCGGCTCTTGCCGAGCGGCCAGGGAATCTTCAGCATTCATGTATTTCTGGGCTTTGGATAGTAGGGCAGCCATGGTGGTTGGAGGGTTTTTAGAGAGGGAGAAAAGAAAGTTGGACGACCGCAGGCCGGCCATGAAAGCCGTGAGGATGACCTTGTCGTCATTCTCTGCTACTTGAAGGGCTTCGGTGTTGAAGCGGGTGACAAAGCTACAGAGTGACTCCCCCTCGGTCTGACGAATGTTAAGGAGTTGGGTGGCTGGGCGTCTCTAACGCTGGGCTCCGATAAAATGGCTCAGGAAAGAGTCACTAAGGTGTTGAAAGGTGGAGACGGAGTCCGCCGGTAACTGGCTAAACCACAACCGAGCTGATCCCTTCAGTGTCACGGGAAAAGCTCGGCACATGATCTCGTCAGGGAAAGCATGGAGGATCATGAGGGTGCGGTAGGTTTCCAGATGATCGACTGGGTCCGTCGTGCCATCGAAAGAGTTAATGGTGGGCATTTTGAACTTGGCGGGCAATGGTTTGTCGCGGATGGAGGCGACAAAAGGCGAGTTTGCGGTGACTGAGGGCTTGTGCTGGATGTTCTGCATGACCCCTTGTAGTTGGAGCTTCATGGCGCGGAGTTCAGCGTCCCAGAAGGGAATGTTGTCGCCATAGTCGGTCAATGGAGGCTGGACATTGCTGGCTTCCCCCTCAGGGGCTAGCATCACGACTGACGGGCGTGGAGGTGGAGGTGGTAGGCTCATATGTGGAGGAGGAGGGGGTTGTAAACCTTCTGGGTTGAGCGGAGGGGGTTGTGGAGCAGTGTGGCCCGGGGTTCTTTCTTGGTTGGGTGGAATATCTGGAGGTGGAGTGGGGAGGTTTCTTTGGAGTAAAGCACTAATCAGGGCCTGGTTTTGCTCGGCCATGCGGTTATGCTGTTAGTAAGTTCGATGATGTATTGTGGTGGGTTATTTGGATGGGAAGGGTCTGTTTGATGATCAGTGGTATTATGGTGAGAAGCCATGGACCTAGTCGTGACCATACACCTGGACGGGTGAGAGGAAAAGGTAACGGTGAGAAAGGAGGGCTCCGGCGATAGTGAACACAACTAGCGCACGAATAAACCACAAAGTTCCCACAGATGGCGCCAACTGATAATGCAGTCCGTCCCGGGTGGATGGGTCGGGCTGGTCCAAGCTCTTCAAGTTTCGATTCAGGCTGATGATTCCTCCAGATGACCTGCAAGCAAGTCCAAAGGGGAACGGGGTAGTCCCCCAGTGAACCCTCCGGCAAGCGAATCAGTAAAAGAAGAAGGGAAAATAGAGAGAGAGAGAGAGAGAGAGAGAGATAGATAAACTTAGCCTTCTTCATGTCTTCCATATTTGCTTATATCCTTTGGTAATCATTTCACTGTCTCTTGTGACGTGCCCCGTTCCGCCGAAAACCTGTGCCGTAGCTTACCTTGTTCAAGGTGAGGGGGCTCTGTTCCGACGGGAGGGGGGGTGTTGTCGTAATAAATGCTGTGATGGGCTGCATTAATGGTGATGTGTTGTGGCAATAACTCTACAGATCTTTGTCTGCTGATGTGGCTTGTGTTTCACCTGCCATGTGCCCGAATGCCATTGGCCCTCCATGTCCAGGTGGCCTCCAGCTGTCCTGGGCTTTGCCAACCGGGTTATGCTATGGGTCCCAAGCAATGGGCTTGGGGTTGTTTGCTGTGGGCCGTAAGCCTTGTGGGCCTATCCATGTCATAATGTATAGGACCTAAATCAATATGTACATTGCACACAAACATATGTATTCAAACATATCATGTATAAATTCGTTCATTCTCTATTATAGTGAAAAATAAATATGAAGAGAGAGGTGTGGCTTTGCGTTTTAGGGCAGAGGTTAAGGAGATATATGCTACGTTTCTGGTAGTTTAGCAGAAATAGAGGCTTTCCCAATACTATATAAAGGGCTATAAGTGTGACATTCAAAGGGTCCTCAACCAAACACTCGATCAAGAGTCTTTCCACACATGCTTTTCAAAACATTTATCCTACTTGATAGGTCATTTATCTTAGTTTCATAGCTTCATTACCTTAGCTTAGCTTCATAACTTCAAAGCTTAGTTCCTTTAGCTTTTCAGCTTAGGTATCTTAGATTACCAATTGTACTTGATTTCTAATCAATGCAAGTCACAATCTTACTCTAATTATCTTTGGCACCTATAAATTTGTTAAAAGTCCTCTTCATTGGAGCAAGATCCGAACGAATAGGGGTTCCTCTTAGCCACACAGAGTCATTTTTCTGTGTTACAAGTCAGAAATGTTTAACAATTCCCACACCTTGAATTAGGTTTACAAGTTTTGGCACACCCGCAGGATTTCTTGAGTGGCCACAAAAATTTTCGAGGAGTGCAAATAGTAATATAAATAAAAAAAATTTAGAAGTGTAATTTACCCTTCAAGAAATCATATAGTAATCTCCGGAATTTTACCAAACAAGTTTTTGATAAAGAAAGAGTTTCATTATTTTGAAATTTGACCGGCATAGCGGTCTTATTGAACTTTCTGCTTTTATAAGCAACATTCTTAACTTATTATACAAGGCACATCACCTAAAAATTCATTTATCACCTCTTGATAAAATTAGGATGATTAGCAAGCTTAGACACTGCCTTTATTTTTTGATAATTACAAATTGTTATTTCAAATTTTCACCCAATGACATTAAACTAAATAAATAAGAATAAAGTAATCTTAGATAGCATGGGAGTATTGTCATTTTAGTTACTCCATTGGTTTTTTATTTATTTATTTTTATTTTTAATAACTCGTGTTCGAGTCAAATTTGCACGTATCTCGACAAATCCCACAGTCTTGAAATTAACAACTGGATGAACCTCCGGTGATCCTTTGAACTCAATGATATTTTAAAAGACAATTTACCTATTTTATTGAACTATTAATCTATCAAATACAGACTTAATTGCTTATAGCTAGTGAATATCTTGTAATTAATTGGCAATGCATTATCTTCTAATAATTATAAAAAAGGTTAGAGATCTCAAAAGTTTTACCAAAATTTCTACCACATGTCTCACATGAGTGTGGGACTCACATGGGACCCACGTGACATGGGTTCCACACTCATGACATTTGATAGAAATTGTGGTAGAACTTTTGGAATCTCTAATATTACTCAATAATTATTTTTGTTGGACTATAATATAGTGACCTCATTAACTGCACATTACTTTTGTTTGGGAAGGAACATTGTATTTATACTTGTGCATTGTGTTAGAGTATCTTCAATGGACTCTTTCAAATTTGCTATTATTTAGTCTTATCCTACTTTACTTCCTGCGATGGGTTAGTTACTATATTAGTCATTTTAACAAATTGTTTACTACATTTAGAGAGTCTTGAGAGACTTTTAAATAGTTTGAATAAGTAAGTAAAATAAATAGTAGTGTTAGAGCATATAGACAAAAAAGTATTTAGGCAAAATAAAGAGCATTCCTTTATTATACTTTAACTAGTGAAAAATAAAGAGTAATGTTTGACTTCATTATGTATTTTTCAAAGAGACATTGTTTCCTATTATTTTAAAAAATAAAATTTTATTAAAATGATTTTTATTTTTAAGAATATCATTATCACATCATCTTTATTAATAAATATGTATAGATATTAGGTAGTCTCGGAGTACAATGTGATATTACTTATGTGCTCCTCTTGACAAATGTGAAACCACAAAATACACTTCACGGGCCGTTCTTTATTTATCAAGTACTTAATAAAAGTGCCTTAGTATGGTCTCACCCATAATGGTTTCTTTTATGGTATTTTATATAATACTTTTGCTTGTGGATCATACAAGACATTTTTTTTGCCAATAATTTTTCTTTCGGGCATGCGGAATAGTTGGTAAAAAAACTTGAGCCATTGGTTTTGATAAGATAATATGTATGCCTCTATGTAAACACATAATAGTAGCTGCAATACTGACTCTCCATTTTGTTACCCTCAATTGTGAATTCATTCTAAAACCAATCAAACTTTCACTCTCATGTTTTTCTTGGTTTGTTTGTGTTTTTCTCTAAATCTGATATAATATTGTTTCTTGCTTCCTTATTTTCACCAGGGAAACAATGCCTATAGGAGAAATCTTTCTCGCTGCTTTCATTCGGATGTTGTTTGAGAAGTTGGCCTCAACTGTCCTACTGAAGTTTGCTCATTGGGAGCAAGTTCATACTCTCTTCAAGAAATGGAGTGGAGAGCTAAAAGAAATTCAGGCATTCTTAGATGATGCAGAGGAGAAACAAATAAAGAATAGCGGTGTGAAAATGTGGCTTGAGGATCTCACAGACCTAGCTTATGATCTGGATGACATACTGGACGAATTTGCCACTGAAGCTTTGCGGTATAAGTTAACAGTTGAGTCTCAAGCAGCTAGCACCAGCAAGAGCAAGCTACTGGCCATGATACCTACATGTTGTACAAGATTCAATCCAACGACTCTTCTTTCTGATTTTATGAGTTCTACTTCAAAGATAGATGAAATCACTACCCAATTGCAAAGTATTTTTGAAAGAGGAAGTCGACTTGGTTTACAAAAGAATGTTGTAGGAGAATTTGCTAAAGCTTGGCATAGACCACCCGCCACATCATCATTGATACATGAACGTTGCATATATGGCAGGGATAAGGAGAAAAGGGACATAATTGATTTTCTCCTAAGGGATGAGTCAAATGATAGTAAAGTCGGCGTACTTCCCATAGTAGGTATGGGTGGGCTTGGCAAGACCACCCTTGCACAGATGGTATACAACGATGAAGTGGTGAACAAGCATTTTGATTTGAAAGCATGGGTCTGTGTTTCTGATGAGTTTGATACTATGAGAATATCAAAAGTAATTCTTGAATCTATTACTTCCAAGCCTTGTGAATTTAAAGAATTGAATCAAGTTCAAGTTCAGTTAAAGCAGAATTTGACTGGAAAGAAGATTTTAATCATTTTAGATGATGTATGGGACAAGAAATACAATGATTGGAACATTTTGAAGGCCCCCTTTAACGATGGAGTCTCAGGAAGTAAGATAATTGTAACAACTCGTGACAGAGATGTTGCATCGATTATGGGAACCGTTCAAAACCATTTGCTACAGCATCTATCAAATGATGATTGTTGGTCAGTGTTTGAACAACATGCCTTTGGGAATAGAAGCATGGATGCGGATCCAAATTTGGTGTTTATTGGTAGGAAAATTGTGGAAAAATGTAAAGGTTTGCCTTTGGCTGCTAGGACACTCGGTGGCCTTTTACGGTGCAAAGAAAGAGACAATGAGTGGGAAGTTGTATTGAATAGTAAAATATGGGATTTAACCGAACAAGGCAATGAAATTCCCCCAGCTTTGAGATTAAGCTACCATCATCTCCCTTCACATTTGAAGCGGTGCTTTGCATATTGCTCTATACTGCCGAAGGACTATGAATTCGAGGAGATGGAGTTAGTCTTCTTGTGGATGGCAGAAGGCCTTCTTCAGCAACAAAATGGAAAGAAGCGAATGGAAGATTTAGGAGTTCAATACTTTCACGAATTACAGTCGAGGTCTTTTTTCCAACCATCGAATGGTGGTGAAAGCTTGAAATTTGTGATGCATGACCTCATCAATGATTTGGCTCAGTCAGTTGCAGGATATACTTGTTTTAGATTGGAGGATAAATTGAAGGATCAGGAGCAACATACAAAATTAAAGAGTGCTCGACATTCATCTTACATGCAAAGCGAATTTGATGCAATCAAAAAGTTTGAAACTTTTTATAAAGCTGAGAATGTAAGGAGTCTAAGGACCTTCTTACCATTGTCCTTAAGTAAATATAGACATTGTTGTTTGACAAGCAAGGTTCCCCTTGATCTGTTGCCAAAGATGAAACGCTTACGGGTGTTGAGTTTGAATGGATATCAGATTTGCGACGAACTCATTCCAAAATCAATTGGAGATTTGAAACATTTGCGATATCTTAACTTTTCCTACACAAATATCAAAACAGTACCTGAATCATTAGGTACCCTATACAATCTACAAACTTTGATGCTAAGAGGTTGTCCAGAATTGAAGAAATTGCCTGCGGACATGGGAAACCTAATCAACCTACGTCATCTCGATATGATTGATTCAAATTCCTTAGAAGAAATGCCACAAGGAATTGATAAGTTGACAAGTCTCCAAACACTATCCAATTTTATTGTTATGAAAGACAATGGGTTTCGGATAAGAGAGTTGGGGAACTTGATTCATCTTGGAGGGAAACATTGCATATCAGGAATAGAAAATGTGGTTGATCCTCTGGATGCAAGAGGGGTGTGTTTAAATGACAAGCAAGGTATAGGTGTGCTAACAATGGTATGGAGTAGTGAGAGCTTGGATGGTTTACGAAATGAAATGGTTGAAACAAAAGTACTTGACATACTACAACCTCACAAAAAGTTGGAAGAGCTATACATCAGAGGCTACCATGGTATGAGATTTCCAATTTGGATAGGAGATCCTTTGTTCTCCAATATGGTGTGCATGAAGTTACAAAATTGTAAAAATTGCACTTCCTTACCACCACTTGGACAACTACCCTCTTTGAAAGACCTTCACATTGAAGGAATGAGTGCTGTAAAGCATGTGGGTTGTGAGTTCTATGGGCAGCATTGCGTCAAACCTTTTCCATTACTCAAGACATTATGTTTTGAGAATATGTCAGAATGGGAGGATTGGTACATTTTTGGAATTGACAAGAGAGTTCAAACCTTCTCTCGTGTTAGTAAGCTCTCCATCAAAAAATGTCCCAAACTTGTGGGAATGTTGCCGAGTAATCTTCCTTGCCTCAAAACTCTTGAGATTATAAATTGCTCGCAGCTGCTGGTTGAAGCTTCTAGCCTTGTTCTCCCGTCACTCACCTCCCTGTCCATGAGTGATGTTTGGCTTCCAAGCCTTCTAGTGCTCCTTGAGACATGTAACGTGCTTGAACCCAGTTCCCTTACTGGCTTGAATATTAGCAATGTTTCAATCCCTGAGTCCCTGTGCAATCCAAGCATAGATGATGAAGTGATGTTGGCAAATGCAATGTCTAAGAATCTGAGTTCAGTAACTTCCTTGAGCATTGAGAAGATTCAAAAACTTGCATTATTGCCAAAATGGCTTACCCAGGGGCTTAAAGGACTCAAAGAATTGAAGATTTCTGGTTGTAACGAACTCACAACACTGTGGCAGAATGAGGCGGGACCACAACACAGTCTCCTTGCATTGGAACGTTTAGAAATTTGGTTTTGTCGGCAACTTGTTTCATTGTTTGAAGAAGAGGAGGATGTAGAAAACGAAGGGCAACATCAACAAGAGGGAGTGTCTTCCATGGTGAGACTTGAGTATCTAAAGATACATGATTGTGAAAAGTTGGAGACACTGCCACGGGGGCTACATACCTTCACTTCTCTTCAAGAGATGGATATCAGTGGATGTCCAAGTCTGGTATCTTTTTTAGAGACAGGCTTTCCGCCTAGCCTAAGACGACTTTGGATTAAGGAATGTAAGGCTCTGCGGTCCTTACCTGGGTGGATAGCGCACGATTCTAATCTGGAGGCCTTGCAGATAGACGGGTGTGATAATCTGGAGTCCCTTCGGGAAGAATGGGTCCACCACCCCCCAACAAAACTGTCATTATTGGTTATCAGGAATTGTAAAAAACTAGAATCGGTCCCTAGTTTGTGCGACAACAGCCTCCTCGCTTCCCTTGAATATCTGTGGATAGAAAGTTGGCCTGCAGGAGGAGGAATCGTCCGTTCCTACATTCTAGAGAAAGGGAATTTCCTCACCAACCTCACTAATCTTAGCATCGAGGATATGAAGATTGGTAAGCCCCTATCAGAGTGGGGTTTGCATAGATTGCCCTCTCTTGATAGTCTCTGGCTTGCAGGCCCAAGTAACGTATCAGAAGAAGAAGAAGAAGAAGAATATTATTCGGTGTCTAGCTTTCCAGTAGATGGGATGTTGCTGCCCACTTCTCTGACAGAACTATGGATTAGGGATTTCCCAAATCTAGAGAAGATATCTTCTTCCATGGAGACCATTCAAAACCTCACCCATCTTGATTTCAAAAATTGCCCTAGGCTCGCATCTTTTCCCGAGCAAGGAGGGCTGCCTCCCTCGCTTTTGCAACTTGGATTCAGAAATTGTCCAATAATGAAACGGCGGTGTGAAAAGGGGAAAGGCCAATATTGGCCCCTCATAGCTCCCATTCCTGGAGTATTCATAGAAGACAGACACATCTTTGAAGGGGAAAGGCCAATTTGAGCCATCAAAACTAGCAGGTACTCAAAAATCACCCAAACTAAATATATCAAAATTATTATTTTATTATTTTTATCAATGCTAAACAGTAGGCATGGTTAGTGCAGCTTAAAAGTTGTTTATTTCAACTTTCAGCTTAATTTAAATTATTTTGATGTGTTGGTTTAGCTTATAGCTTATAGCTTATAGTTTTTTGGAAATCAGAAATAAGAAATCAGCTTATGTTCATAGTTATAAATTATAAGTTGTTTAGGCATAAGTTATAAGCACTTTTCCACAGCTCTACCAAACAGGGCCAGTGTCGCATCTCCTCATCTCATCGGAATGGAGCCTGTGTATTACTTATAATATATATATATATATATATACATATTTCTATCTATACTATATATTAAGCAAAAGAGGGTTTTTAACCCAAAGCCTTGTGGGAGCTCCAATCTCCCAATCTAAATTTCTTGATTTTTTTGATTTTTTTTTTAAAAAAATCTTAACATTTATTAACATCTCCTAACTCCCAAGTATTACCCTCATAATAATACTTTAATGCATTAAGAACAAGCATAAAAAAAATTCTTTAAAATCCAACACATATGAATTCATTGAAAAGTCCCAACACATATAATTATTATCCCTCATAATAACACTTTAATGCATTAAGAACAAACATAAAAAAAAAAATTCTTAAAAAGTCCAACACATATGATTATTATCAAAATATTAAACTTTAATATAATACAAAAAAAGAAAAAAAGAAGACATTTAAAAAAAAAAATTTTAAAAATCACAATTCACATATATAGATAATTGTAAACACAATAAAATAGGAGGGCATTCATGTCTACACGCTTTTTTATAAGATCTCCTCCATTATAATAAGATAGCACTTTATGTCTCTCATCTTATAATCTATATATATATATATATATATATATATTATCTATACTATATATTAAGCAAAATGAGGTTTTTAACTCCCAAGACCTGTGAGAGTTTCAATATCCCAATCTGAATTTTCTAAATTTTTTATTTTTTATTTAAAAAAAAAATCTCAGCATTTATTGATTTGGTCAAAATTTCCTGATCAGCATTTATTAAATTTTTTCAATCCACATGTTTTTCCACATGTTTGCATTTATTGATTTGGTCAAAATTTCCTAATCAGCATTTGAAATCCCATCATACAAATAATTATAGATATAATCCATGTATAGTTACTGTAGTACTCTTTTCAACTTCTCCCATACACTATGGTTAGTGATAAGATTGTTAAATTATTTTTATAAAAAATCTTTAAAAAAATTTAAAACAAATATAAAATATCTATAATTATCCTGTGCATAATACGGGTGATAGGCTAGTATATATATATATAAGAGGCGGTTTGCTGCTTGTTGCTAGCCATTTTTTTTTCCCTATTTTGCACTTATTAGTTTATTTTCAAATTGTTATTTTGTCCTTTAATTTGGTTGGTGAAACAATTTGAGTGTAATTATGCAAATATTATTGGTCAATTATGTAACATAAATTTTTTATTTTTTAACAAATTATAAATACACCCATAAAATTTTTTTAAAATATGAATTAGTCCTATAATACTAGAAATTATAACTATCGTTTATTATAAATTTTAATTTAACACAATACTCAAGAGAAAAAAAATTATTCTCCAATTCAATAATAAATTATCAAAATTGTTTATTAAAAACTATTTCTCATATCATTAAAAACTATTAATTTCCTTAATGATTTATTTATTAACAAAATGGCTAACTAAAATATTTTTCATATCATTAAAAATTATTAATTTACTTAATGATTTAATTATTAATAAAATTGGTTATTTGCTATGCAAGTATGATTTATGTATTAATAAAATTAGTCATTTGTATATACATGTATTTTGTTCTGCTTCTTTATTAGTTCAATGAATTATCTTAGTAGTTTTTTTTAGATGAGAGAATTATCTTAATATTTGTTTTATATTTATGTGTTGAGAAAAGTTACACACATTATTTTTTTTTTTATAAATTCGGAAGAAATGTTAAAACCTTACAAATTCACCCAAAATAATATGGTCATAGAATTAGAGTCTACATGTATAACAAATCAAAAAATAATGCATATCTTACTACATAATTCTATCATATATATAAATATGATTTATTTTGTTCAATTTCATAGAATAATATTTTAATTTTTAAAAAATTATCAAAATACAAAACTTAAATAGACTTAAATTATCAAAACTTATATATAGAAGGGGAGGTTGGGCTATGTTTTTTTTATTTCAAGTGTTCTTAGTGTTGGTCTCTTGCCAACCAACCACTGCATTCTTCTTCATAAAGGGGTTTTGGGTCTATTTATTTTTAGTTCGGAATTTAAGGTGGTTTTGTATGCTTCCTATTTTTTTTCTGTTCTTTATTATCTTTTCCCCTTGTTTATTTATTGATTGTAATGATTCACATTATTATTCATAAACTCTTTTTATTTTTTGATAAAAATAAAAATCATATTGCAGAATGGTAATTTGTTTTCTCACTTTAACACTCCAGACATAATCAGGATCACATGCCCAATCACAATAATCAACCATATCTTTTTTTTTTTCTTTCTTAATTTTTGGGTCGGAGCATCGATTACTTACCTAGAATTTATGTATTTTCACCATGAATAATTGGTGTCTTTTTGCTTCATCTGCATATGTTGTTTGATCTCCGTTTTGTGGTAGTCACTAACCCAATTACTTTTCAATTTTCAGCAATTATTATTATTATTATTTTCCCTGTGGTGTTTTTAGGTTTTAGTAAGAGTTGTTCAAGGTGTAAGTTTCGGTAGATGCTTGTCAAATGTTTATTTGTCATCGTTGTTATTGTTTTCATTTCCAGGTTCAATACATTCATTTATCTGCTTTTCCCCCAGCTACCGCTATTCTTGGGAAACCAAGAGAGCTACCAAAGGATGGTATCAACTCTTTCAATCATTTTCTGTTGTGTCTAGTGAAGTAAATGTTGCATTTGATTTAAAGCAATGTTGCATCTAGTTGAAGACCTAAAGAATGCAGTGGCTTGATGATTCTGTATTGTTGTTGATGTTTCCTTGCTTCTAGTCGTGTTGCTTCTTTTTTTTTTTTAGGTAAACCAAGTTGCTTCTTTTATCATACTGTATTTTCTACTATTGCTTTTGTACGTGTCATATATAAAAGCTCAGTGGTAAATTGACTGGTTTATGCTGATGCTATTGTCGTTGCTTCTTTGGTTTTCTAGACTTTCTGTGCAGCTATTGCTATCTTCTCATGGTCTGTATGTTGTATTTGTTGCACATATGTTCATGTTAGATGTAAACAATGCCTAGATTGGCTAAATGGTATTGTCCTCATCTTTTGCTTGCTTTAGACAATTCCCATCGTTCGTATTGCCCATGTATGCTCCTTGTACTATGTATTTACTTTTGATCTTTGGTTTATATTGACTTCCCAAAAAAGAAAAGAAGTTTTGTTCATCAAATAATTTGGGTGTTGAAATTTGATTCGTATTGTTTGGCTTCAATTACACTCGGCATCTTTTCACATTTTGCAGCAATGATTGCTAGATGTCCTTTTTAGGTTATTCAACGGAGTTTTTCCGAGAGAGAGAGAGAGAGTGAGTGAAGGAGCAAACTAAAGATTGAAGTATCTAAGACTTACAAGTTCTGCTGAGGTGATGTCTACCTGGAGAATTCTTTTTCTAAAAGAGATGGGTGAAAAGATTTCACCTTCTAAACTCAATCATATGAACAAAGTTACTGCATAAATTTGTAATTTTTTGCCTGAAACGGCAAAGGAAAGTAGAGAATACTTTATAATCTTTCAACAACCTCTTCAGCCCTGCCTACTATAAGTTTAATGCGAGTCTTTTGTTCAAAACAAATCAAGCCAATAAACATTGAATATTAACCTTGTGACTACAATTACAGTGAGCACAATCTCATATGATGAAAGATTCATTACATAGATTTATGGTTCTGGGTAGTTCTAATCTAAAAATTAAGAATGAAGCTCTCTTAAGTGGTGGTGGAGGTTTGCATCTGAGCCAAATCCCCTTCGGAAAAGAGTGATTTTTGAAAAGTATAATTGGGACAACAAGAGATGGGATATTTCATTGCTTAAAGGATAATGCAGTTTTTTTTTTTTTTCCTGTTCCCTTCTGAACATGTCCCCATTAATGTGCTACTGAAATTGGGGAAATGGAATGAGATTTCTCTTTTTGTTTGATAAATGGGTGTCTGATGTAACAAAGATGGTCTCATTAATGATTTCATAACATGCGTACCTCACATAGGAAGACTTTGTTTGTATGGGACGAGGAGGAGGAATACCATCATAGATTATTGAAAATCCTGCCACAAATTGATCAGCTTAATGCCAATCAATGGATCAATTAATTTGGAGGAGTGATTCATCAGGTAACTTCTCAGTAAAATCTTTACATAACCTGTTTGGCTCATCTGGAGGTTGTATTATTCCTACAATAGAGTTTATGTGGAAAAGGATTGCCCTCTTTTGAATTCTTGTTTTTTGGTTAAAATGAATGCTCTAGATGAATCCTGTTCCACCTCGGTTTGGCTGGTGTAGGCGGTTGAGTCATTGTTGATTTTGTTTTTTAGCTTTGTTCTCCTAGTTGGTGTCTTGCTGTCTGTTATTTTATTTTTATTTTTTTCTTGGAGTGGATTCCGACATTATGAAAAGTTGTCTAGTTGCTGCTATGCTACAATCTTGGTCAGTGTTCTGCATCCGTCTTAGTAGGTGTTTTAGGGGTTGTTGGCCTTTGGCTTAAGCATATGATTGGCTTAGTAGCATGAGTCACCTAGTTGGCATATATATATATATATATATATATTTTTGATGTTCCCTTTAACAAAGAAAAAAGAAAAGAACATTACCCATTAGACAACCAGAATTTTGAAATTTGAGTCTCAATAAATTTCATGATGTTTCAGTTTTGTAAAATGGTTATTTAATTGGACGTAAATTTGTCAAATGATGGATACATTGATGTTTTGAACATTTCAACTAATGAGTAGTGATAGAAAAACTTTCACCTTTGAGCAGTTTTCATCCATAAATTGGTAAATTATCACAAATCATCCATTAATTGGTAAACTTCTGTTCTTCAATGAATGGAAAGGAATTTGTTAATTCCTATATCTTTTAATGAGAATATTTTGTGTTGAGAGATCCAAGGGGTCACCTCTCCTGCTATCATCCATTTCTATACCTTCGAACACTCAGCAAGTTGGTTTAAAACCACTCATAAAACTTTTACTTTTATGCCTTCTTTCATATTTTCATGCCATTCTAGATTGCATTCCTTTTCTGTCAATAGGTAGAAAAAACAGATAGATAGGTGGAGTCTACTAACTTTCAAAGCATTTTTCACCCCCAAACTATACCACACAACAGCCTGCACAAACATAAGCACAGAAGCAAGATTTAAACAAGAAGATATGAAGACTAATTTGTGTTCAGGATCTAAAACTCATATCTAAAAGGTCTAGTAACATGAGGTAGTTTTAGTTCATTAGAATTAAAGTGGACCAGAATAGTTGTTCTATCCAAATGTTCATTCTAATATTTACTTTACTTTAAAAAATGTTAAAAAATATATTGTAAATGAAATGAGAAATTAACATTTCATTCTATTCTACTTTTATTCTAATGAATCAAACATAGAACTAATGTTACATTAGACTCTCTTAAGGTTCAAATTCACATAACACTTAGTTGCATTTTTATAAAAAATTATTAATCATATGAATAAAAAAATGATATTGTCATATTTTTTCATCACTTTTATACTGAAATGTAGAGTTTATATTATATCTTTGTATCTTTACACTATTTACACTAATCAAGATCGCTTTAGCTTTGCTAAAATAAAGGTCGATGTAATTATACTAAAACTGTAGGCCTTACTATATTTTTTCAAAACCGTAGGCGAGGTTAATGTAATTTTCCCAATCATATAGTTATCATTATTGGATTAATTCAGTTTTTCATAGATAATTTACCAATATAGGCCTAAAAAATAAATGATTTAGATAATCAAAATGAAACCTATGATGGACCCAGAAGTTCGGACTAGACCAATCGAGTCCAAATCTCAGACTGCAAGCAATCTAATGGATAATTTAGTGAAAGTTACCTCACAAAATTGAAACATGACTCTGTTACAAAATTTAATAGCTAAGATCCCTTGGCATTGATTTTTTGAGAGTTTAAGGACACATTGTGAATTAATCAAAGGTGTTATTTGGTGCAATAGTAAGTTAAAAATTGATAATGCAAAAGTAGAAGTTAAAAGCACTCTTCGCTTAACTTTTAGAAATTAAATTTTTTATTTTATTTTATAATAATTTATCAGTAAAAACTGTACCAAATAATCCGACATACTCAAAAGTTATGAACTGTTTTGGTCCTTCCATTTGTGGGTAATGTGTCGAGAACCATAAAATACACTAGCATTAAATTAACGTGGTCAAAATCTCCATGGAAGATCACCATCAACATCAATTAGCTGGGCATAAACTCTTGTTACTAATTGTTACAATTCCTGTATGACAGACATGCTTTCTTAACCATTTAGATAGTTTAAAAAAGGATAAATTACACTATTAGTTTGTGTACTTTGGCTGTTATGTTATTTTGATCTTTATAATTTTAATTGGATCAATTTTAACCAATTTTTTTTTTTATTTTGTCTTAAATTAGTCAAATTGCTTATAATTATTAGTATTTTTTTTTAATTATAAATGTGCACATGAGTGGCATGTGTTATGCTTTTAAAAGTAAAATTGGAAACTTAATCAATTGAGTGACTTAACTTCAACCAATTAAATGAATTTTTTTTGTCAAAAACCCTAACAACGTTATCAATTAAACTAAATTGACACAAAATTTAAAATTAATGGTCAAAATTGAGCCAATTAAAACTGTAGGGACTAAAATGTGTGTGATGGTTTTGTAATGCTAGTGGTGAAGTTTTAATGTTATTAACACACTAAAATTAACTCCAATAGAGTGGCGTGGTGGTCAAGGCCTGGAATTTGGGGTGTGCTCCCTTCATGATCTCAGATTCAAAACCTGCTAAGTACAAATAATTTCTTGTGGTCAGTTCATATGGGGCTTTGCCTCAACTTTAATTGGAGTAGTGGATGGTGGGATTGATCCCTTAGATTAATCTGTTCATTACGAAAATTGAATTATCAAAAAAAATTAACACACTAAAATTTTATTTGTTAATATTGTTATTTTATTATTTTGATAAAAAAAATTAATATATCCACTGATAATAGGTAATTTTGATAAAAATTATTTTGTATAATAATGAGTATAAAATTTTCCATCAACAATGCTAGATGGAAGTTGTTTTGTTACTGTTTCGGTGGGGCAGGTTGCCCCAGTGGTTAGGGCGTTGCCTGGGTTGTGTGGGTAAGGCGCACGTCCCAAGTTCGATTCCCCACTGGGTGAGTGCCCGCAGCAGTTTGTGCAAGGGTGTCCGGCTTCCCACCAACTAAATACCCCTCAGGATTAATCCTGCCTTCCCTAAAAATCGGAGGGTTGGAGATACCTGAGTTATCAAAAAAAAAGTTTTACACTGTTAATCTTATTATTTTACTGTTTTGATAATGATAAATTTATTTTTAAATATGTTTATTGGTGATAGTAATGATGGCAATGAGTGTGGTGGATTGTGATAGTAGTTGTGGAATTTTACTATTTAATCTAAGATTAACATAAAAAAAAATTATTTTGTTAACATAATCATTTTTATTATTTTGATAAATTATTTCTTTAATATTTTCACTAGAGATGTAATAGTATGTGTGATGGTTTGAGATGGTGGAGGTAGTAGAATTTTATTATTTAAATGTTAAACTTAGAACAATAATATTTTGGAAAAATATAAGTTTGACCCTTGTAATAAATTACACTTTGATTTTTTTTTTTAATTTTGTCAATTTAAACCCTACTATTTTGTTACAAATAAATTGAAAAAAATCAAAGTGTAATTTATAACAAGGTCAAACCTTGAGTTTTTTTTTTTAATTTTTCCTAAAATTTCATTGTGTTTGCTTGTTTTTTTTTTTTTTTTTAAAGAATTTCATACTCAATATGAATATAATTTGATAGAATTCGACAAAAGAATTTCAAAAATATCTATTTTATTAAAAACAAACATCTCTGTTAAAAGTTATAAATAAATTTAAATTTAGAAAGTAGAACATGAATATTTTAATAAATAGACTAACTAAAATAAATATTTGTGATCATTTGGGGAAAATGTTTGTAAAGATTTTGGACCTCACATGAAAGTTTGAAACTTTTAACAAATGTGGTGCAAGTATGTCCACCTTTTGAG